GCAAACTACTATAAAGTGTATTTTTGTCAAAATACTAGCAAAATTAAAAGACATAACTTGAATAACTGTTTATACATTGCGTTAAAAGTTTGACTGTCATAATTTCAATAGGCCACAAAACAAACGAAGAAGCCTTGTATGAAATACAAAACATATTTTCTAAGTTGATCTACACAACTTCGATTTTGTGCACATAATACAATTTAATACGAACGTCTACTTCCACAGGAGGCAGTTAAGGTTTGTCTTTTTCATAATTCCGTATTCACAGAATAAAAATTAAGCTCACTTTCCAAAATCCGCTCATCTTTTTATGGTTACGTTTTAAGACGTAGTTGTTCAGTGTCATTATTGGCTTTAAATAAATTTAGAGTCATTTTTAATCCAACCAAGCCTTCAAAACGATCTTTAAAATCCAGTAGCGATGTCTGTACCAAATTTGGAGCCCCTGTCTAGTAAAAGATGTAAATTTAAAGAAGGAATTTCATCAATACTGATTATGCGCGAATACAAACACACAAGAATCTCAATCCTCTTCCCATGCTCACAAATAAATAATTAATGACGTTCGAAGGCATGGTCAGGAAGGCGTGGAAGTGGGTTCCGACGTGGAAATCAAGTGGGCAGCTCATCTTTTGCAAATATCCACCACTGGGCTGCAAAGGGCCTTGACTTCAAGGATAACAGAAGCTAGAGCTGAACGTGTGCACTCGCCGTTAAGCATAGATCAAGCGTTAGATGCTAGAGATGCCTTCGCCAAGGCCCTGTACTCAGCGCTGTTCAATTGGTAAGACAATTTTATCATATAAGAATCTATGAATCTATTATTTATTGAATTCACAGGTTGGTAACGAGGGTCAACTCGATAGTCCAAAGGGGAGGACTTCACGAAGCCGGGAGGATATCCCTACTGGACATTTTTGGTTTTGAGAACTTCACCGAGAACTCTTTCGAACAGCTCTGCATCAATTTCGCGTCGGAATCGTTACAACTATACTTTAACAAACATGTATTCAAGTTAGGTAAGGTAGAAGAAGCCTTGTATTTGATCCTTACACTAATTAATTGGTTTCTTTTCCAGAACAACAAGAATACGCCAAAGAGAGACTGGAATGGACCCAACTCACCTGGAGTGACAACACCCCAGTCATCCACCTGTTAGGAAAGAAGCCCGTGGGTATCCTCCACCTTCTCGACGACGAGAGCAACTTCCCCAAAGCCTCGGACTCGTCGTTCCTAGAAAAATGCCACTACAACCACGCATTGAACGAGAACTACTGCAGGCCTAGGGTCGGGGGAAGAGAATTTGGAGTAAGTACAAGAATTTAACACTAGAAATGTACTATATTAGTTTTCCTTTTCAGATCCGACATTTCGCCGGTCAGGTCTGGTACTCGGTCGACGGTTTCCTTGACAAGAACAGGGACGCCTTAAGACCGGACGTCGTAGAGCTGATAGCTTCCAGTAAAAACGCCTTGGTGAGCGCCATCGCCAAGCCCCTGTTGCACCATACCCAGACCAGGACCCTGCCCAGGGGCACCAATGGCAGGTTCGTGACCATGAAGCCCAGGACACCCACAGGTATGAAATTCATGGATATTACCACATGGATATGTTGATCGAGGATATATTTCTTTGTAGTCGCCGCGAGATTCAGCGACAGCTTGCACCAACTGTTGGAGTCGATGTCTCGTTGCAATCCGTGGTTTATCAGGTGTGTCAAGCCCAATAACGACAAGGCGCCGATGAGGTTCGACATGCCCGTGGTTATGGAACAATTGAGGTACGCGGGAATGTTGGATACCATCAGGATCAGGCAGTCCGGGTATCCTGTCAGGATGAAGTTCCACCAGTTCGTCGACAGATACAGGTAAGTCCCTGAGGGACCACTTGTGTCGTATACACTTGGCGGGATGTGGATATCGAATTGCAAGATGGTGTATCCCGCAAGGTTCCCTTGCAAGGCCCTTCAGATATTAATAATTTAGCACAAACTGTGTAATAAGGTCTTATAGGATATTTTGGGAGCTTTATGAGATATTTTAAAACTACTAAATTTAACCGGATTTTGCAAACTACTATAAAGTGTATTTTTGTCAAAATACTAGCAAAATTAAAAGACATAACTTGAATAACTGTTTATACATTGCGTTAAAAGTTTGACT